CGCGTTAATTATCAGAAATTGGCCATCTTTAAACCCCTACAACTTAACGACGACAAATAATCACAGGTGAAATATCTTTTTTTAGCTCAGGACAACAAAAACTTTCGAATCATATTAAAAACTTTCGCCGAAAATTGCTATTTAAAGTGCCGAATTTTGTCTGGAGAAAAAAAAACCAGCCAGAGCACAAATATTTTTGTTTCGAAAGTCGGAACAAAAATAATCAGAGTAGTTTTCCGACACGAAGTTTCTTTTTTCAGATTTTTTTGTAATCTAAATCACGATAAAAAGGGCTTGGAAATGATAATACACTTAACCTTCTACTAGTTTTCTGTGAGGTTTTCTCTGCTGAAAAAAACTCCCTGCACTTTTTATTAGAGTCCGGTTGTACCCGTTTCGCTATAACCGTTCCCATCTTGAGAAGGCGGATTACATTGGGAGACCTCCGACCGGGACCGAGGTGTGCTTCGAACTGATGACCATTGTTCAAGAGCCACGCGCCTTACCCGCTCAACCACGGCCGCTCTACCTACGCCATAGCTCCTAGCAGTCACAAAAAGAGTACCCCAATTAAATTTACATGCATCATTTAAAATCTCATCTTTAATTACACATATACGAATTTTGAATCTAGTGACAAATGTTGTATCTAGTAACGAATTTCCCCCTTTTGCAATCGAAGGAAATAGTGAAAGAGATACGAAACTTCCTACCCTTTGCATGGTCAAACAATATGGTGGTTTTGAGCATTTTCTGCACTACTTAATTGTCGGGAACCCCCGCAACACAAATCGACTTCTTCATAGATTAAACTGAAAAAAACTGCTTTTCAACGCAAAAAAATGTGTTCTGGATTAAATTACTAAAATTCTGTGCTAATTTAACTTTCCAGAAACATAATTATCAGAATGGCTCGATTTTGTCAACATAATTATCAGAATGGATCCAAATTTGCGGAACCCCCCTGATAGTTTTGATCCCCCTCCCGCAAAGAAAAACGCCTTTTTAAAAAAAGCCCAACCCCCAGGTAATTTTCGACCCCCGCGAATTACGTGCTGCAGAGTAACTTCGAGCTTGCTGTAAAAAACAAAAAAAGTTTGCTAAATGAAAGCGGAAGCATTTGTTCAATAATCACTTCAATCGGTGTCACCGTTTTAAGCTAGGTAGAGGAAAAGCTAAATCAGCTAACTCAATGAGCTCTATTTTTCAGATCAATATTTCTCCCGCCTCATTGATTTTAATTAGATTAAAACGCAGATGCTTTTAAGTTGTGGTGTAAAAAGAATGAATATCACCTCAAAAGCGAATATCTAAAAAGAAGCTTAGATAGAGTCAAGAGCGAAAAATGCAAATGCATGGTAATTTAAATCGGGATTAACTGATAATTGAAAAAAAAAAATCAATTCAATGCTTCAAAATATAACTTTCCGAAGACAAAACCTAGATTTTTAAAAGAATCAAATCGTTATCTTTCTTTTTGAAAACTTGGCGCTCCGCAATTGTTTTCTTTTGAAAGATAAAAAAAATCAAACATTTTATTTCTTTTTCCTTCTTTTGATGGAAGTATCTCAATTTACGGCGTTTCATAGTTTTTTTGAAAGAAAAAATCCTATATTTTATTTATTTTTTCCTTTTGATGGCATAATCTCACTTTAATCTAATGTTATTTGCATATTTGACCTACTATGCTTTGTAAGATACCGTTTATGCCTCAAGCATGCATACTCATCAAACCAAGGTAGCCTAAAAGTAAGTAGCTAGATAGATAAATGAGATCTAACGGTAAATGAGAGCGGAGAATCTAGTTATTGAGGCGAATCAAATGAGCCACTGATTTGGTCTATTGTTCACGTCAGCTACTAATCGCCAAGCGTGAAATATCCCTTATTCAAGGTTTCCTTTCATTTTGATCCCTTCACCGCCGTTCAGCATTATTTATATTTATGATGGCTTGAATGTTACTCCTACCAATACTTTCTGGTAGTAAACAGCCAGATTTTCAACAAAAATGCTCCAAAAAAGGCATCAATTGAACAACATCCTCCCCGAGGGGTGTGTCTTGCTTGGGCATTTTTCTTTTTTTTTTGGGGGGGGGGGGGTCCTAATTCTCTTCTTTTTCTTTTATTGCCTTAATTTTAACGTCCTTTATTTTAATGTACTTCACCTTAACGGCCAACCCTGATGAGAAATTAACTTGGAAATACAACTAATAGTCAACCAAATTCACAGCCAAGTGCAGCAAAAAATGCTTAATTTATGTCTCACCTCTTCATAAGCGCACGTCTTTTTAGTTCACTTTTTATTTACTAGGCACCTATTTGTCATGTAGCATTGAGTTTGCATTGCATCATGACATGAGGATTTCAATGCATAAACTAACTGTATCTTCAGTGAAACAATAACTTGTTATAACCGCTAATTTCTACTGGATCTATTTCAGACAGAGTCTCCCGCTGTTACAAACTAAAACTTTTACTTCTATTTCTAATATAGTATATTTTCAACATGTTCATAACAATGAGTGACTCTGAGAAACTGTTAGAGAAATGAAGGCGCCACTTTTAGTCTCATAAGCGCCAAGGAATGCGTAAAAAACGTTCGAGTATGTACTCATAACTAAGTGGTTTTCCATTAAATTTTGCGTTTATACTTTCATTTTTTCAATCATTGTATTTTCATGTGATGATTGTTGATATGAACAGAAAAAGATAGTGTCGAGATTTTTTTAATGCATGCGACGTTATGTGGGTGGTCATAATCACATTTCAATTCAATCTTATTTGATATCTCATTGAATTATGATATAAAAATGAAACCATAACACCTACAAAGTGCAAAACTATAATTCAACCCTTCTAGTATTCGATGTTGACTTTCTCATGACCAAACTAAGATGTCAAAGTACTACAATACACTTAATACACTTGAAGGTGGGCAAAATGTACTATTTGCTATCAAAGTAAATCTGTTTGATAGGTTTTCATTATTACTCATATCTCTAAAATTACTAAAATACGCCTAAAACAGTACAATATAATGAAATACACACCTTCTTAAGAACTTATGCCTAATCAGAAGTATCGAGAATTCGAATAGACTATGTCTTCAAAAACAGACAATTAGTCAAGCAAAGACTTTACAACAGACCATTTTTTAAAAGAACTTGAAAGCAGAATTTAATATCCTTAAGATATCATTAAAATTAATCGTTCAGAAGTGGGGGAATTAAAAATCTAGGTTTATTTCATTATGTGTAGTACAATTCAAGGCTGACATATGCAGTTTATATTGTTCCATAAAATTTTTCCCTTTTCCGTCCGAAGGCAAAAAAGACGCACTAAAAATAAATAGGTTCAAAAAACAAAATAAAATTCTTCAAATAGATTTTCAATTTGAGCGTGTTTCGAAATTGAATACAAAAATCAATCCTCGAAAACTCAATCCTACAAAAAAATTCGAAAGATACCAATATCATTTTTAAAGTTCTTCAGCGATTACTAATTGCTTGAAAGTGCAATTGGTTCCGCCACAAGTTTCGAATAGATGAGCGGTGGTTTCTGTGCCTAACATGGATATTAACGAAAAGACTGATTAATTTTGGCAGTATCTAATAAAGACATAAACTGAAAGCTGATCATTTTTCTCGGAAACATGGAATTGGTACTGAATTTTTTCGCCCTCGAGTGTTTTTTGCTACAATTGCGACCGAACATTTAGAAAAAAGCATCTATAGTGAATCGTTTGCAAAATTGCGCATTTCCTCAAAAGAAAAAATATACTAGCGGGAATGCAATTTGGATAATTTGACGTTAGACCTCTATAATAATTGCGTTCTTTTGTTTGTCTCCCTTCAAAAGGAAAACTGCAAGATGAGTTTTCAAATCAGCAACGGGAGAAATCGGAGATTGCACAAACAAACAAATTATACTAACAAGCATTTTAAAATATATATTTTTAAGGCACGCGACGCATGCTATGAAGATAATATTGTTGAAAAATTACTCTTTTCATAATTTTTTCCACGAAAAAACCAAACTTGACAATTATCTATCTGCTATTGGTGATGTCAAGTTAGAAAATGATTCTTGAAAATTGAACCCAAATATCACTGAATTTGAAAATTTTCCTTTTTGATTTGAAAAACAATAAAAAGGCACTTCAGTCCAGCATTTTTTCTAAAGGCGCCTTCGGAGCCAATAATTACTAATTTTGAGAGGAAAGCGCGCGCCGAAAAAACACTATTTTTTGGTCAAAATTTTCCAAAAAATGCCTCAAAACATCTTTTTTGGCCCGTTTTTTCAAAATTTTCCCTGCAGCGTCGAAAACTTCGCCAAAACAGGGGGCCTTTTTAGTCTTTCGGGAGAGCTCGGAAAATCAATTTGGTCGACCTAAAAAAAGTCTACAAAATTTTGAACGACTGTTCAATTCTTTCTTTTTAGTTGGGGCAAATTCATTACAAGGAACTTTCATTACAGGGAAATTCATTACAGGGGAACCATAGGGGAAGAAAAAGTTGACTAGATCCAAAATTTGTACTGTTAGTCAGTTACGTGGGAATGGATTTAACGTAAATTGTACTTGAGTCATTTGAAAAGGGACAAGTGACCCCATTTGGGCTTGGAGAGTGATTGGTTAATTAAAACCTGATGAATTATGTCAGTGGAGGGAATACAGAGAACAGATATGCATGATTGAAATCGCAGTCTCAGGGGTATTTAGAAATATATGTTTATTCTGCATCAATTTTACTTGAAGCAATTAGAAAAAAGAAAGGCGACTTTTTCAGAAGTCTCCGATCTTTAGAAAATTATTAAGAAAGCATGCATCGTGTTAAAGGTAGCCAACGAATTTCGAGCAAAAATCGCAGCTAATTAGACGAATAGACCAATTTTAAAAGAGGAGATTTCGGATCAAAATATGTCAAAAATGAGGCTTAAGTTAGCTAAATTAATTAGCATACGAAGTGTTAATAGGGTTGTTCAATGAAAAAACAAACATACCTGCAGTTTGTTTTGGGATGTTAAAAGTGTCTGTGCTGTTGATTTGCACACTGTCTATCTGGTGAATAACTCTGATCTGAAACAATTAGAACCAACGTGAATATTATGTTTGAGGAGCGATGGAGATGTGGCTACGGTTTCCGACTCTAAGTCAAACGGTCGTAAGTTCGAGACCAAGCACAATCCGTAATCCTTGCTTGGGGTGAAATACATTTTCTTAGTCGAGAAAATGTCAAAAATTGAATTTAACTTTTTCAGTGGCGTGCCTAACAGCTCGTATGTTGGTCCAGTTATTTGTAAAAAGCAGGTCTTTTATCCACGCCAAAGTTTTTGGCAGTCGGCCATTGCAGCTTTCAGAGGGCATACTTGACGCCAATATCTTAGACGGAATATTGTTGGGAGCGTTAGCCTAAGAAAAAAAACTCTGAAAAAAATTTGAATAACGTGCTCAAAATTGCCCCTTTTGATCTGCGTTTTTAAAAAAAATAGTAGATTTTCAATAGTATTTAGATGAAACATACCATTGTGTACAGCAACATTTGGTTCTCGTTTCTTTAAAAATTTTCTGCGTTACGTTGGTAAAATATTATTTACCAGAGTTCAATACTTCATTATATTGCAGAGTTACCGAAGAAAGGGTTACCGTTACACAATGAAAAGTAATAGGTTATCAATCACAACAGACTCAATTGACAACAATTCGTTTTTTCCTCGCTCGTCGTAGCTCGGAGCAAATTGAAGTCAAATAAGAACTCTTTATTTTATGCAACAACTGGAGATAATAACACGATAAAAACAGCAAATAACATGACTTGACTTGTCCGGTAGATAGCTGAAAACTAAAACCAAGGGCAGATCTAAAATTTTAACAAGTGACCAGAATTCTAGAAATATATTCTATTCTTTAGTATGTTTACTCTAGCTGTGTTCTTGAAAACTCACTTTGAATGAAACATTCGCGAACTGGTTTTTGAACACCGGGAACAGTGCATTAAGGTCATTCGTCGTATTCTGCACTATTGCACGCTGTGTCTGTTGCACATTAGCACCTCTTCCAGCTTCTGTAGCCTCGATTACGTAACCGATTACATCATATTGCGTGATTCCATCTCCGAAAGTAGTGGCATTTTGTCGTAGTTCGACTAGCTTGTCTGGTGCGTTCCAGTTGATATGCCAGAGACGATCTGCGCCGACTTGCTTAGCTCGACCAGAATTGGGAAGAACTGAAATAAAAAGTTTGTAGGTACAATGGAATAAAGAGCATATACACAGACGCGAAAAAGAGCTTTGCACCACTTGCGATACAACGCAAGCAGGAGACAAGCTAGCAGACAGAAAACGAGACAAAAGCCGCTACATTTTTGAAGCGAAACATTTCTGAAAAAATGTCGAAAAAGCAAACCACAGCAGCGAAGGAATCAGTTGATATAAACGGTAAAAAACTGATTGTTTGAAAAAAAGCAATCAGATAAAAGACATCAAAAGAGTTTCAAATTAAAGTGAAAGGTATTGAAATCACATCAAAATTTTGTGTTATGGCGAATAAGATAACGATAGACTGGCAATACTCTTCTTCAAGTCCAGAACTTTCACTTAGTAAAAAAGAACAAGTCTCGGTGGATTCGACCCTGGACATTTGTAAAGCCAGGCATGGCCGTCACCTCCAAGCCAAACGTGTAGAATAAATCACTCAATTCTAATTTACGATAAGCCAAGCCATCGAAAGGATCAGTAATTCTGTTAAACGAGTTGTTAACCTGAAAAAACTAAGTCTTAGAAATCGTTCCAAATTGGTTGAAGCAGGCTATTTGCCATAATTGCTATGTTACTAGGAGCGAAATCTATCAGTTTGTACTTCATATGGTTTGATTTTCTAAAAAAAAACTCAAAATTAAAAAAATTATTCTTTTTTTTTAAATTCATCGATTGTTCTAGAGTGAACACTGCTTCATGGAACTTATAAGCAGTCGAACTTTCAGGTCTTCGCCCTGATACGAGCAGTCTTGTTTTACTTTTTGCGGGCGTGTCTAGCGTATCGCCCGCTCAAAGTCTGGAGAACCATTTCGATTTAGCAGTTTAAAATAATTGTCGTAGAGCGTCCGTGGCGGAGTGGGTAAAGCGCGCGGGATTTTAACACGAGGACCCTGAGTTCGAATACGCCTCAGTCCCGGTCGGATGGTTTCCAATATAATCAATTTCCTCAAGGTGGGAAAGGCTTCGGCGAAATGCATGACAATCCCTACCCCAAAAAAAACCCGGAGGCAAATAAAGAAATAATTGGTTAATTGTTATCAACTCACTGGCGTGTTCCGTGATGAACGGGTCAGTGTATTCTTTGGGAGGCTCTCTCGTCACTGGATTTGTAGAAGAAACCGAACACTCGTGCCGCTCACCCGAAATCAATCCAGTAACAATTGCTGAGCTAGATTTGTACACACGAACTGCTAAACACACAGACACAAATTATATTAGCTGGGAATACTCGAGCGATTATTTGAGTTGACAATCACATTTCTAACACAGAGGCAAAGTTGTACTTCGCGTGCGCAAGCAAAAAATATGACCGATAACGCTACTGGGAACCCAGTTTTCGAGTGCTTTCAAGAGCACAGATGCGAAGCTGTGCTTCGCAAACAATAGCGAGAACGCGGAAAAAAGCAGCTTTATAAAGTGAAATAAGAAAAGCTCATTTTTGGCACCTGGAACTCTCAGAAGTAATCACGAAAGTATCAAAAATGAACCAAATATTGTCAAATTAAATTGAAGATTAAAAATATATCGTTGCTGGCTACATGTAGGGACGTCACATAGATTGAAGTAACTTGAAGACTTTGGTATCTAAAGACCGAAGTAATTGAAGTAAAATGCGACAAAGAGGGGCCAATTAGACGCCTTTGTGTTACAACCACTTACTTGATAGAATGCTGTTGGCCTGTGATGTGAGCCAACAACTGACTTCATGTATAACGCCTTCTGTGTGGCCTTGATTGTCAACGGGGGTGGCTTCATTCCACTGCACCTTCACAAATGTGTCGAAAGCAAGCACTTTGATATTCCTGAAATTTACAGGGAAAGTTAGACGCTAGCTCGTCTTGAAATTAAGAATTAGCGAGGCTGTTTTTTTTATCTTAACATGAGACATACATTTGGGTAAAATGAAACATTAAGTCGATGAAGTTAATTGTACTCTAAAAGAAACAAACATAACTGGTTGCTGTCGAGTAGCACAGAAAGTTCAGACCAAACTAATTAGAAAAAAAGAAAATAAAAAAATTTAATTCGAAAATATCATTTTTTGTGCAATTTGTGTTTACTGCATTTCCTGTAGTTTTTTGCTGGAAAGAGCAATCGAATTAGGCGAAAAAAAGTTTCTCGACAGATAACTTTTTGTTCCGACTTTCGATACGAAATTAACGGAATATTTGTGCTCGGGGTGGGTTTTTTTTTCTTCAGACAAATTTCGACTTTTTATCTAGACATTTTTGACGGAATTTTTTTATATCATTCGAAAGGTATTGTTGTCCTGAGCTCAAATTTGAAAAGATATTTCACCTGTGATCATTTTTTGTAAAGTTACGGGGGTTTAAAGATGGCCATTTTGGCCAATTTGGGACAACTAACGCGCGATATATTTCGCGCTATTAACGCGTAAGCGGAGAGTTAATCCGTCTTAGAAATTGTTCCAAATTGGTTAAAAGAAGCTTGTTTGCCATAATTGGTTTGTTACAAGGAGCGAAATCGATCCTTTTGTACTTTATATGGCGTGTGGGGGGATGATTTTCATAAAAAATTTTAAATTTTAGAAAACTTTTTTTTTCATTTTGTTTTATTTTATTGAATTTTTTAATGTTATTACTGCTCCATAAACCTTAAAGGGCAGTCGGAACATTCAGGGCTTCGCCCTAATACGAGCAGTCTTGTTTAAAATTAATTTCAGAATCCGAATCACGACCAGTAGCTATTTAATATGATAACAAACTTGACCCGCTAGCAGCTTTCCTCGAGGTAGTCAAAATGGTTGGCAAAAAATTTATAAAACTGACCCTACGCCATAGCTCTTTCCGGCTCTTTGACAATAATCACAACAAAAAGTCTAGAGGGACTTCATGAAACGCCATTTCTATTATGTTTGTTGGGTAGATTTTGAATTCTGTACTTCTTTTACATCAAATTTTCATGTGAGTACGCCTTAGTCTAAAGCGGCATTATTAAAATGGCTGTCGCGTGAAGTTTCACTAAAACCATTTATATACCTTGATAATACTTGTCAAACTATTACCCTTGCCGAGTATTCTAAAAAGCGGTATCATACTTCACTGGTCTATACTTACTGTACAGGTAGTGTGAGAACTTTTGAGCACATCGATTCAGGATCTTCACCTTCGGGTCGTTGATAACCTCTGACGCAAAGACACTTTTCAGCACCAGGGTAAAAACTTGCGGAATTAATTGGACAGATTTTGCAATTGTCATTTCCCAAATTATTTTTGAAATATCCTTTGCGACAAGTTTGGCATTCACTGAGGATGTCATTGGGTTCAAATCCCGGGTTGCACTGACACGATGAGAGATCTTGATACTGTTTTGCCCAATTTCCGCGCTGATCGCACAAAATAGATGACAACTTTGTCCCCGTTTTGGAAGACGAATTTTGCACGCACTTTCCAGTAGCTTCCGTTGACTTAAGCTCCGCGTATGTTCTGTGAAAGTACTGCAGCTCAAAGGTAAATGAGGGACAAAAATAACGAGTGATGTCAAATTTTTTCAGGGCAAAACAACTGCCATCATCGTCAACTTTGAACTGAATTTTTTTTGATAAGGCTGGAACTGTTATATTTCTTGTCGTGAAAATTGCAAAGTCATCGTATTTATCGGATAATGAATCTATAAGATGAAACCTCGACTCTATGTCTTCATCCACTAAACCGTCAGATCGTATTAGGTCAAAAGCACTGATGGCTTCTGAAGTATCAATAAAAATATCTTCATTGTCGTTCAGTTCAATGTAATATAATTTCAGCAAAGGGCTGCACATGCTGAAAATGTCTTCAAGATTTTCAGTTTTTAAATCTTTGCATGATTGAATGTTGAATTCAATCGAAATCACAACGTCTGATTGAGGATGAATATCAATAACAGGGGAAAATATAGAACCCTTTTCGTCTCCAGTGAAAAGTCCCACGCAGTCTTTCGTCAGTGCACCACTTCCATCAACATGATACTAACAAACAATCATTCGAACATGTTTAGATTCTTATAACTCATCTCTAAAATCTTATGGTTTTTTAAAAGAAAAATCGTTAAATACCTCGATGTCCTTTCCAAAGCTAAACCAACGATTGAAATCAGGTGCCCCTCTGCTGCTGAAAATAACTTCTAAAACAAAAAAGTATATGATTCTAAGAAATATCCGCATTTTATCGAGGCTACTTATTAGAAACAGCAACTCAAACTCACCTTCTGCCGAAAAAACAAGGCCAAACAAGAAATAGAAGAACCCAATTCCCGTCATGATAATCGGATCAAACAATTTCATGTGCGGTAAATGTTGAAAGCACACTATGCCTTCTCATTCTTGAACTTAAAACGGGTAAAAAATTTCATCAATTTTCGTTTAAATTATTTTCTAATTTGATGGACCTTATTTCCATCGCGTGACGATTTGCTTATTGTTGTTTTTCGATTGAAACTGTTCCGAAACGTTTCTTTATTTTTGCAAACACTAGAGGGCGAGAAATAAAATTTAACATGCTCGAGGAGAAAACCGCTCTACGAAATTCAAATAAGTGAATTTTAATTTATTTCTGTGGTTTGCCTTCTGATTTCTTCATTTTGAACGAAAAAAAATCTAATTTTTTTTCAAGTATATCTCCGGGTGAATTTTGCCCCCCACTGAGTAAAACCAAGTCATGAGTCAACAACAATTGGCGGAGTCTCAGCTACCAATTACTCATGAAGTGCTGATTGAAACGGAGACAAAATTCAGAAATGCGCTAACAGCAAACAAATCGACAACAGAAACAAAACAAATCCAAATAAACAAAATAATCCCCCCATTCTCGAGAGAAATTGTAAAGTCAGCTGAAAATCTGTCGCAGGCTTATCGGAGTTGTGCTTCCGATATACTTAAACAATTCCCCACAACAATGCAACAGAAGATGACAATCTCAAAAACAATAACTGTGACGAAAGATGACCGCAAACTTCATACACTGACAGTAATTGCTCCCCCCGAAGCAGAGCAATTCATAACTAGCATCAAAAGCGAAGGAATCATTCTACTAAACAGGACGGTATTTCCCATGGGATGCTTTCCAAGGTCTCATAGACCCAAGAACATTTACCCTAAACTAGCCAAAATCAAATTGTCGAACTTGCCTTATGTATGCAACGATATCGAAGCGAAATTAATTCTCAAATTGCCAGAAGACATAATTCATAGCCCCATATTCCAACGTGAGACCTGTATCGTAACGGAACGGGGTCAGTATGTTTACACAGAAAGAGCCATTTTAGAAGTTAAAATTCAAAACGAAGAACAAGAGAAAAAGCTGACGGACTAGTCTTACAAATCGAGAATGGATGGCTTCAAAATGTGGGAAGGTGTAGAAATCTCGTTTCACATACCTTCACTACATGAATGTCAAAAATGCAAAATGTCTGGACGCCAAGAAAAGGTCATCACGATGATTGGTGCAACATAGGAAACCAAATAACCAATAATCCAAATAATCAGTTCCCCAAAAAACCAAGCTCCAATAATGCCAGCGACGAGAAAAATGATGACGAAACAACAAGCGATAAGTTTTGTAATGGTACCGAAAATGAAGAAGATAAGAATGTCGAAATACCACCATCGAGTGTTTTGATTAATGAATCTAAAACAAACAGTGTAGCAACTCCAAGCGAAGAAAAACAGAAGGATGAGGTTCTCAACAATCAGGTCGTAGATTTTCATTCTTACTCTGCAAAAGAAAAAAAAGACAATTTAAATATCGAAAATAACAAACGAAAATGTTGCTCTGACGGAAGAATGCTTACAAAAAGAGAGCGTGAAACTTCACCAACCTCTTCGTCAGTTTTAACACGGAAGAAAGGGCCTAAAATAAAATCTAAAAATAACGGAGAAGACTTGGTTGGAGGGAAGTGTTAGCAAAATTTCTATGTGCGAAAAACCAGATAATTTTTCCGGTAATATTTTTAGCATAGGAAATCCAGCTAAATTACACTCGTTTATCAAAAAATGCCAAGTTTTAAAAAAAATCTCCCAGTTTCATTTTGTGCATTCAGGAAGCAAAAATATTAAAACTTACAAATATACATTTGAGTTTACTGGATAAATATAATGTTTTATTCGATTTCATACCAGGCTCAAATAATTCTGGTGGTTTCTTAACGTTATGGTCATCAAACTTGAGTCCTGCAAAAAGAATTGCTTCAAGTACAAGTTTTCAATTGTTAAATTTTGTCAAACTTAATTGGTTTGTTATCAACGTTTATGCAAACCCAAATTCATTCCAAGCAACTTTGAATTCCCTGAAATTAAGTATCAGATTTTTACCTTATAATTCGAAAATTATCATGATGGGTGATTTTAATGCGCTGAGTTATGACAATATTAACAGTTCTTCAATAGTTAAGTTAAATGATGCACGTATCAAACGATTTACCCAACTCAAAGAACAAATTCTTGATTGTTTTCGTTTTGTTGATTTTGCATTCAAGAATGATTTTTTTGATTATACACATTATGACAAACAACATAAATCTTTTGCGCGCATAGGTTATGTTTTTATGAAGTTCGAAACAGAGTATGACACAATGCAAAGCACTCAAATATCAATTTCTGATCATTTACTCTTACACGTTTTTTGTTAAGCCATCTAACTTGTATCAGCGCGGCCCTAGTTACTGGAAACTAAATGAAGAAATTTTAAAAATCAACGCCAGATTAATTCGTGAAGGTCCAAAAAATTTTTTTGAAAATGAATCACCAAGTAGTTACGAAAACTTTAAGCACAATTTTCGTGAACTTCTGAGGTTTATTCAAGAAAACAAAAAGCGTGTAGATCAGAAAAAACTTAATAAATTGAAGCATCATGAAAATGTTCTCAGAAATTGTATTCACAGCGGAAAAGGTCCGAACTCTAGTTTGATTGAAAAATATCATTTGGTGCTGGAACATCTTCAAAAAGTTTCCAAGGAAAAAGATTTTTCAGACTATCGAAAAATTCAGAAAACTCTCAGCTATACATTTGAGGGTGCGCCCAAATTTTGTAGTCAATGGACCTCAAAGAACACAATTACCTCAATCAAGCGAATTCAAGTGGATCAGAACGTTTATCATACGGATGAGGATATTCTTAATCAATTTCGAAGGTATTTTTCAAATATTTTTTCAAATAATTCCACAACAGAAACCGATCAACTACTAATGAAATTTTTATCAAAAAATAAACTCGAAAATAATGAGAATGATGGCTATAGTTACTTTACAGAAGATGAAATTCACTTGGCTATAAGCAAATTCAATTTGAAAAGCTCGCCTGCACCAGATGGACTTACATCTAAGCTATATAAGACTTTTACGGATGAGTTTTGTTCAATTTTAGCTAAAGTTTTTAATCATTTTGTTCATGGTGGAAAACTTCCGAACAGTTTTTGTTTAGCAATAATCAAACTTCTCCCGAAATCTGAAAATGCCATAGCAGTACAAGATTTTCGCCCTATCAGCCTCATGAATACTGACGCGAAAATTTTTGCCCATGTAGTCTGTAATAGAATTAAAAAAGACCTTTGCAAAGTTGTAAAAAACCATTAGCACGCGTATTTGCCTGGAAGACAATTGCACACAGCAATACGAAAGTTGAAAAAAGCGATTACTCCAGAACGATTGGCTAACAGAGGTTCATGTGCTGTAAAATTAGACTTTTCTAAAGCGTTTGACAGAGTTGACAGATCAATTCTCATCAAAAATTTTTAAAGGGTTAAACCTTGATGAGTTTTCAGTTAGAGCTATTGAAACTTTGTATTTAGACTCAAAAGCAGTAATTGAGATAAATGGTTTTTTATCAGCCAGCTTCAAAATTCATCGCAGTGTGAGACAAGGTTGCCCTCTCTCCGCATTTTTATTCATAATTTTTATCGAACCCCTTCTTCAAGCAATTGAATCTACAGAAGCAATTGAAGGTTTCGGGTTATTGTGCCCCAAACTAGTTTCATATGCAGACGACATAACTTGCCTTATCAAAATCCGATGTATTGACAGGTTGTTCCGCTTAATCGATACATTTTGCAGACAAACTCAAATGATGATTAACATAAGTAAAAGTGAAGTGCTTTCCATACCTGATTTATCTCCCTATAAAACAGTCAAGGAAACAAAAATACTTGGTGTCTTGTTTTACACTTCCCAAAAAGTTGAAAATATTGAACTATTGTTGAGTTCTCAAATTCAAAAACATCGCGGGTTAATTTCACTAAGTAAATCTTTGAGGGCCAAATCATTAACACTGTCAGTTTATGTTCTCCCTAAATTTTTTCATTTGGCTCGTCATACTCCAGTTAACTTAGATACTGTTAGTAAATGCCAACAATTATTAAATACAGAATTGAAAAAATCAAGCAGACTCGACATAAAGAAAGAAGTTTTATATCACCCCATCTTAGATGGTGGGGTAGGCTTACCATGCCTACAACTTAAACTTTTTAGTCTAAAAATTATCGATTTCTTTGCTTCTGATATGTCAGATCGAGATAGTCTGTTACCAACAGAATTTATTTTCTCGAAAGAAATCAAAAAATTGTTAAGAAATACGAACATCTCTATTGAAATAAGTTCGAGTGATTTTGCAATTATTTCAAATATTACCAATAGCCGTTTAATTATAACAGTACATACAAAAACGCGAGATGTTTATTATTTCTGCTTACAAAACTGCAGTTTTCATCATGCTGCGATTTCCCGCTTGTGTTTTGCTGCAAACCGTTACCTCTGTTCAGAAGAAGAATTGATTAAATTTACAGGCAAAGTTTGGAAAAATTCAATGCTTGATATCTGGGAAAAAAAAACTTTTTATAAATTTTTGTACGTTGTCTGTAAGGATTGAGAAGAGCAGTGTTTTTTTTCTTGAGAATGGCTCGAATGTTTTATTATAATTTAGAATGCGAAACATTCGAACAACTAATTTTCAGTTGTCACTCGTTGCAACCGTCAAGAACCATATTACAGATTAACAGTTGGCGTGACGTTTTTGTATCAACGAACATTGCGAGGCTTAAGTATGTTGTTGCGGTTGTTAGTGGTGCATAATCAAACTCATCGACGTCATGGAAAATCAATTTGCAAACATTTTTGTCATGGGAACCAGGGAACATACGAATAAAAAATTGCTTCTACTGATAAAAACTACCAAGGACATGTTAGACTTCCGCAACAAACCAGGATACCCGGTATCCGGTAAAAGTAATGTCAATTGAACAAAAACTGCTAGGAAGTAGAAGGTAGATGTTTCAAGCGTACCAGGATACTCTGTATCCGGTACGAAAAAATGTAATTTAAGCACAAATAAAAAAAATGGTTTGCCGATCAGGACACCCAGAATCCGTTTGAACAAAAAATGTACAGAAACAGTTCAGAAACCATCTAGACGAGCTCTTAACAATT